AGTGGGGGTTTCACTTAACCAATATCATACTCTTGTAGAGAATTATGAGTTACGGCAAAAGGGGTTTGTTTTGAAATAATTAACTATGGCTTAAATAACCAACTTATGGTCAAAGCATTTCTAAGATGGGAGTTTTCTTTGTACAAGAAATATATATATATTTTCTAATATTGCCAAATAAGTTTGACATACGGTTTTGAAACCTATGGAATTAAAAAAAGAAGGCCAGCTTTGAAAAATGAAAATTCAACATATGTAAAGTGCAGCATCTAAAATCTGTTATCCCTGTTCTTGCAAATTACAGAATATTCGATCTGATAAAGTTCGGGTTATAGAATTTGTAAGGTACGTACAACCACAAGAACAAGCACAAGTACTTTGTGTGGTTGTTTGCCTTATTCCTTTGCGCTTGTGTGGACTCTCGACCAAACACTCGACATCATTATGGCCAAGGGAACGGGAAAAAACTCACTCATTCAGTCGGCTGAGCAGCTTGCAAATAGCAATGTCATGCAGCTGTCTCAGCATCAGCTTCTGCAACACCCTCCGCCCCCGCCCTTCCGTCCCACAGCCCAATGGCCCAATGGTCCCCTCACCCACCACCCCCTCGACCAACTGAAAGCGCCACCCAGGCGACGGCGGCGACTTCATTTGCAATGCAAACAGAAAAACAGAAAACCTCTCGTAGAGTAAAGCTTCGCTTCAGTTGTGTAATCAACTAATTACAACAGCCACCAAAGCTGGCGCCATTAGGCAATACCACCACCCATAGCCCCCTATATCCACCCATAGCCCCACTCATTTGTCTTGCCAAAGTGACTTTTAAACATTTGCGAACATTTTGCCAACGAAAATAAAAGCTAAATCGCCGCCTGTTTGAGACAATTGAGTAGCCCTGCCACTCAAATCAATCAATTCTCCGCAGTCTTCAGATCCACTCAATGGTAAGCCCCCCCCCCTCCAAAGAATAATACTTATTGCTCTCTCAGTTCCCCGAAATGAAACACTGCAAGAAAGTGGTCCAGAAAAGCTTTAGTTTCGAAAAGAAAAGAATACATTTAAAATAGTCTTATAAACCATAGATAGATCATATCTTCTTATGTTTTAAAATCGCAATTTTCTACACCTATGATCTCTAAAATCTTTGATTAATTTTCTTGTTTCACATAATTAAAAAAATTGTTTTTCTAATTTCTAGATTTGATTATTACTGATAATGTAAGGGGATAAACTTCGTTTGCTTAAATTAAAAAATGCAAATGCAAATGCTTTTTATGCATCCTTTCAGAATCAAGCTAAAAATTATAAAGAGGAAAAAATAAGTTGTCTAAGGGCAAATGGATGCGTAACACCTTCAATTCTTTACTGAAGTTTGCGAAACTTTTATTCCCACAGTGCACTCTTGCAGTTATTATTCCTGTTTCCGGTTCAGGATTTTCGTTGATTTCGCCTTGTCTCGAGTCCGTCGAAGAACTCCGGCGTCTCCTTGACGCAACGTTCCTTCTGCCCTCCACCGCTGGTAAATTGATACTTTTTTTTCGGTTTTTGGGATTCGCATTTTTTGTCAGGCACGCAAAAAAATAAGGCAACAGGGAGCGGGACAACTTGAGACGTGCGATGCGGACTACGAACCCATCCATATTCATAATGGCACACTAATTGGATCTTAATTCTGGCATTTTATTTGATTACACGACCGAATTATGTCTGATAAATTGAATTAGCATGCGACGGCAAACAGATCGAGAAAAGTGTTGCCGACATCGACACTTACTAAATAAATTTGCAAAATTATGCAATTGTGAAATTGAAAACGGGGGAAGTTCGGGCTTATCGTCTGGTAATTGATATCTTTTTCTCTTGGTGAGCTGTTATTTACCAGGAAGCGGGCAACCGTCGGGTAAATTAATATCAATCTAAACTAACAATTGTCTCAATTTTCTAATTTTCTCTTTTCCATATTCACTCGGCGGAGATGCTTTGATCAGATGCATATTCTGCGCCAGTCCCGCTGGCCAACTGTTTGTGATTAATGAATTCAGATTGAATTACACGGAACAACCTGTACCGAACAGTTTGCCCCCGTTCTCCTTAAAGCACACATGGAAACGAATCGAGGGGAAAAGTTTCCGAGAGCTGGCTTTAATTGATTTGGGAACAAAAGTTTCGACTTGGAAAAAGTTCTGGCCAGCCAGCTCCAAAAACTCGGCACGTCCTGCGTCCAATAACAATTAGTTTTGGGTGCTCTTAAACAGCAATTTATGTACTTACCATTTGTTATATAACGTCGATTAATTGATCCAAAGTCAACGACAACTTCAAGTGGCCAACAGATGAAATTTTATTAGCAATCACACGGCTGTCCGTGGATTGTGAGCTCTACAAGTGACTGATGGATGATCGATGTGCGCCACTTAACAAGTTGATTGAGTCAAATTTCACAATAGATCAAGCGCATTATATTCTGCAAAGTGTTTCATTGTTAATTCATTAGATTTTACTAGGTATTTCTAAGGACAATTACAATAGTAATTAATAGCTTCAATAAATCTTTTTACAATCCTTTAAAACTGAAATTAGTTTTGTTGTGTTCTAATTTGATCTATATATACCAGATATCATGTTTTTTTTTCTTATCACGTTGTATTCAATTTCCAAAAGTATCTGCAGATCCTTATTAAATATTAAAGGGGAAATAAATTAATAACAATATTTCATTTTACAGATAAATATCTTAATTAATTTTTAATGACATTCTAATTTAAGTCTAATTTTTTATATATCTATACAACACTATCCCCCTTAAAATTACCTATTATAATTACCTAAAATAACGATTCAATTTAAGATGATTGAAAATAAAGTGTGCTTAATTAAAAGAAAGCTCATATTAATCGTTTTAGTGTGCACAAAAATCTCTGCACTGAAGTTCTATATTTTCATTAAGAGCATAATCAATATTCTACCACCACTTAAAGTCCCCTTATGCCATTAATCTATCCAAGTGTGAATTTAATTATACCCTTGGGCGAGGAAAAATATCCAGGAACCACAAAGTAAGGTCGACTTTGTCAATGGATTGCGCCAGTTTTCCGATGTCAACGACAAATTGCCGTTGAGACACTTTAGATGCAACCGACTGGACTGGATTAATTCATTCAAATACAGCTGTAAAAGATTTAAGTTAACATCATGAAGTTGAAGGGAACGGAATTTTCTAGTATGAGAAACTCAATGAGTTCACAAGATTTATTAGCTTTATGTAGACAGCTTTAATTGATCGCAAAACAATCGGAGTTTTTTATTATAATTGATTGGAATGCTATAAATTGGGAAAAGCTATTAGCATCAGAGAATGATCAAAAAATTTCACTGAATTAAAAGAAGGTTATATTTTTTATGGGTTGAAAAAGTACAAACAAAGGTACTAACTTGCGTGACGTAACTTAACATCGTAATCTCATCACTAATTGTTTTTTAACATTATCCTCGGTATGAATCTGAAGGATCCAAATAATAAAAATTATCCTAAGTTTAGTATTAATAATATTTGTTATTTCTAATATTATTTTAGGTTCTCAAGCAAATCATTCCGTTAGTAAATTTACGAATGTAAACAAAGACTACCTAATATCTGTAAGGTTTTATATTAAATATGAAAAACTAAATAATTCATTACGTAATGATGTGTAAAACTGGTTGTTGACCTGCTTCTGCATTCTCATTCTTTGGGGAGCCATCTAAAAACATTGGAAAGTATGTTGTTCCTTTCAGTAAAGTCCGTTATGTATGTTCAACCACTCGTGTATGAAGTTGTATCTTGCTCACCATTTGAAATGTAATATTCATTATTATTATACCGAATGGCATATGGGAAGTATCCCACGTGTGAGGACTTTCTACCTGAGGGAACTGCTGCATTTGTAATTGCCACTGAGCTACCCACTTTCACGTCTTTAGCGAGTACCCGTACTTAGCCAAGTGATTTATAAATGCTCATTTAATGCGCTAAAAGCTGTACGTATTAAGCTGGTTTTCATATGAGCCCTGCCCATTTGGGGCGTTCATATGCGGGAAAGTGGAAATGGAGGTGGAAATTGGGGTGCATGCGTGTGGTTTCTCCTTTTTTGCGAGGCGGAAAAAGGTAAACTTTGCACCAGGGCTTTAATTATTGTAATTGGAGTTTTCGGCTTAAACCACACAATCGTATAAATTATGGAGGCCAGATGATGATCCCCAAGATAACTTTCCTTTTCGGATCATATGTTAATTGTTTTCGGAACAAAGTGGAGCCCGTTTGCGGAAGTTACCGCATTCCGCATGTGCAACATAAATCTCTTGAGGCGGAGAGCAATTTTCACCTAATCTCAACCCCTCTTGAAACATCTTTCTTTCATCCCTTTTCCCGATGCCTCCTATCTTATCACATTCATTACACGAATTAGATTCGAGACGTCGGATTGGGATTCTTTTGGGACACATTCGTGAAAATTGCCTATTTTTGAAATCGGAAACTTTGCCAAAACCGGCAGAAAAGCAGCCCAAAAAAAGAAGATAAAGGTTAAGAGGGCAAAGCAACAACAAAGGCCACAGAATTTCCAATCGTTGTTATTGAATTTTTCAAGCGGTGTCGAGAAAATTCAGCCGCATCCCGTCCATTTTCTCGGGTTCGTGGTGTCCGCATCCGTGCTGGCGAGAAACCCAATGTATAATCTTTATTCCCTTTGTCTCCGATGGTCGAATGTTCAAATGTTCGAATGTTCGGACATTTTTCATTTTAAAGACATTTTGACATTTTTTTTTGCCGTCGCCGACGCCAGACAGACAGTCCGAGGAAATTGGCAGATTATAAACGCTTGAAACGCAGCGGTCGGTCTACGGGGAAGGTCGACCTCTGACCTTGGACAGTTGATTAGCATTGGGATTGTATCCGTATCTGTGTGCGAGCTAAAGTCATTGGGAATTAGGAAAGTGGCAGTAAAAGACATCAACGTTTTAGGCATAAATTAGATTTGTATTTTTCCGCTTGATTTTACGTAGAAAAGATTATACAAAATTGTATCTTATGGCTGCTATTTACACTTAAGAATAGCTTAGCTTACGGCCATGAATAAATATAGTTCGTATATCTGCATATATCGATTCTGAATCGCTGTCTTATCCTCCGTTTTTTATTATTAATAGAATTCAACATCACTGTAAGATCTAGAAATATGTATGGTCTTATATATATTTACAGAGCGTTGGTTCACTACCAAAGGCAGTTTACACTCGGCTGGATAAGTAACATTTTTTTGGGTGAAGAGAATCCACCCCCAGGTGCAGGGGTTGGATTCCGTGCCACCGTAATTAGGGCGAGGAATTGGTTCTGGTCGTGGGCTCTGCTACAGCACCAACGAACGAACGGGTAACGTTAATGAATAACTAAAACAAGGTCTTTAAAAATTAATTAGAGCTACGTGGGGTGTTGCAGTCGCGACTCCTTTACTTGCTCTTTGTGGCCGGTGGCAGGGAAGCAGAGGCTGTTGCTCCGTTGTTGCCGGTGGCCGCCGTCTGTTGCCGTGCACCCGCTCCACTGCTTCCGTTTCCCTTGGTTTGGGGCGCCGTTGCTGCTGCCGTCAGCTTTCCGCAGGCCAGGGGGGGATGTCTTGGGGCTGGCTGCCGGCGGAGTGGCTCCTGGGCTGGGCAACGTCACCGTGGGCAGCATCGGCTTGTGCTCGCCCTCTGCCGGACCACCTCCTCCACCTCCGCTGGCGGCGGCACTCTTCAGCTTCTGCAGGTAATCGTTGAACACCTCGTTTCCGGCTCGCTGCATTCGCGACAATTGCTCCATGAGATACGCCTGTTGATAGCCGTACATCGCCGGGGACATGTGACCCATCTGAGCGAAATTGTACAACATATTCGACTGGTTTGCAGCGGCCGCCGCCTGGACAGCCTGTGCCGCCTGGGCAGCCTGCGCCGCCTGAGCACGCATTAGATTCTCCTTGATGAATGTGCTCAGGTCCAGTTGTCCGGAGGCAACGGCTGCCGCGCTGGCGCTGGAGGCGATGCTTAGTGGAGCATTCTGACCGTGCATGACGGGATGGGGCATCATTTTGCCCACCGCCGGAAGGGATGGAGGTGGTGGCGTTGGATTCTTGGACACCTTTTTACTCTGCTGTTGGCTCTTCTGCGGTGGACTGGGTTTCTGTGGCGCCTGCTGCTGTTGATTTCCCCCGTTGGTTAGCTTCAGTTGACCAGGCTGATGGGCATTAGCTCCTCCATTTGGTGACTTTTTGCTGGGTGGCACCTTTTTGCCGGTGACTGGGTTCGGAGGTGGATTGAAACCAAAAGGCGGTGTCAGAGTGGGCAGCTTGGGCGCCAACTCGGCATTCTGGCGGGGAAGGATGGGTCGGAACTTCTTGGCCGCTGGATCTCCATTTTGGCTGGCCACCACTGAGTTTGTTCCTCCTGCTCCACCCTTGGGCGACTTGTTTTCGCTGGCAGTTGGTGAGTGACTGCCCATTTGAGCGGCATTTCGCTTTTCCGGGCTGGGCGTCTTCTTATCCGCCTGCGTGGGCGTAAGCACTGGCTTCAGAGGCGTTCCTTTGGCGTTGGCATTGGAAGGCGGTGATGTTTTTGGTGGAGTAATCACCTTGGGAACACTTGGAGGTGGAGGTGTGGCCACTTGGGGCAACTGTGGTGGCGTCATGCGGGACATTAAATGCTGGGGCGAAGGAATGGCTTTGGACGGCGGCGGAGGAGGCAGCTTGACGGGCAGCGTTACTGGTCCGGCAGCAGGTGGCGATTGCCGTTTCTGGGCCTCCTTGGCAGCTTGCACCTGATCCTGCGGCTGATCGGGCAGTTTAACTATCTCAATGTAGTTATTGACTGGACTCTTGTGCTTGAGATGTTGGCCATTGCTGGGTGAGGAGGGGTCTCCATTGTCCCGGGAGATGGTGATCGATAGTGATGAAGGGATGTTGATGTTGCACGAGTTGAGCAACGACTTCACCTTCACCTGCTGTTTCTCGGGCGCATCTTCATTGGGCAGATAGAGATTGCCATTTGCATTTCCATTGCCTCCGCTCGGAGAAGCTGAAGATGATCCTCCTTGAGCAGGATTGGTATTCTGATCGGATTTTGTGGGTGGTGAAGGGAACAATCCACAAAGAGTTCCCCCACTGCCGCCACCCAACATGTTCTGCAGATAGCCTCCAGGTGCTCCCGTTCCAGTTCCTGGATTTGCCGTTGGCTTAGGCGTGTACTTGTAGGTGGGCATCGTGGGAATATTATAGCTGGGAACATACTGTGGCGAACTAGGCGAGTATATCGGCGAATTGGGCGTGTACATGGGCGTACGGCAGCCAGGTGGTGCCTCCTTGCCCTTGGACTTGCTGGAATTGAACAGCGCCAGATTGAGATAGTTATTGTTACCGTTGCCCTTATTGGGTGCTGACATCGGTAAATTGGCTCCCTGCTTTCCAATGCTTCTATTGGCCTGGGGTTGAGTTGCTCCATTGGCGGTGTTAGCAGGTGGTGGCGGTGGTGGTCCCATTTTAGACTCTCCCTTGGGACCATAAACATGCGACTTTTGCGAAGAGTTACTGGCATTCTCTCCAGATCCTCCACCAATCGACTTGATTTCGGTACCAGCATCCTTGAGCAATCGATTGACATCATTTGGAATATTGGCAAACGGATTTGGACGGGAAGCCTTGGGTAGAATGGGCTGATAGCGCTTGGCGATAGGAGTCCGATTTCCCGGAGCAGACATCTGCACTACGGCATGATGATGCATTGGCGAGGAAGGAAGGGCAAACTGGACGGTGGGCTGAAGTTTCCGGGGAGCCAACATCGGTGGCTTCGACGGTGGGGGCATCAGTGGTTTTTCTACCTTGGGCGCCGAAGCTGCTAGAGAATTACCATTAGTGGCGGGTAGGCGTATCTTGAAATCCTCCCTCGGCAGTGGAGGTGATAGCTTTGGCTTCTTGGTCAATGCCTTCACTGGTTCCTTGCTCTTTCTCTTCGAGGAAGCAATGGATTTGGGTGGCATACAGCTGGGCGGCTTCATCAGAATGCTGTCATCCAAATTACCCTTCGACTTGGGCGACGAAGATTGCTGCACTCCAGATGAAGGCGGGGTAATGGATCTGCTATTGATCTCCGACGATTCAACCTTTACTTTGATGGGCTTCAGAGCAAAGGATTTAAGAAACTCTGACTTCGGATCTTCCAAGAGAGCTCCACTGGACACTCTTGGACTCAAAGTGCTCACTCCATTTGGACTCATGATGCGTTCCGTGCGGATGGTCAAAGGAGGGACGGTCAGCGGGCTGGGACTCTTGCGCTTGCGGTCTCCACTCGAAGATGAACTGGAGCTGCTTGACGACTTTGGACTGCCGTCCTTGTCCTTCTTCCTAGACTTCGATTCCTTCTCGGGTTTCAGGGGCTTCACAATCTCCCTGCGTTCGGGATCGGACATATTGATAATAGTCACACTGTTCTGCTTGGACAGATCGATCTTCAGTTTGATATTGGGCTCCGAGGGTGACGAAACGGGCGTAGAAGGAGAGCTCTTCGATGACGATTTCGAGCTGGTTTGTGGGGAATGACTTTTCTCACGCTTCTCCAGCATAGTTCTATTGATCACTAGCTTGAGTGGCTCCGTCGTGGGTGGTGCCACCACATCTTTGACCACCTCCTTCACGATTTCTTTGGGCGGCTCTTGCTTCTCCAGCTTTATGGGAGTTTGGATCTCTGGCAGAGGCGCTGGTTCCACCTTTGGAGAAGCTTCCACTGCCGGCTGTTGCTCTTGATTCTCTTTATCCTGCTTCTCTTGCTTCTCTAGTCTCAGTGGCGGCACTCGGCGAGGAGCAGGCTTCACCAAGGGTTGGGGAGACTCATAAACACGGTAGTAAAACCGCATGGGTGCATCCCGCTTCCACGTGTAGATGTACGCAATATCCATCAAAGTATAATAGTCCAACAAAACGATAGTCTTGACCTTGTACATAATATCGATGCTAAAGCGCTGCGCATCAATTTCGAACTTGTCGTAAACGAACTTCTTAAGGTGGCTGACTCGGCACATGGCCGGACATTGAAGATACCGCGGACGCAGAGTGTCCATTAATTCGGACTCGGACTCAATCTTCAGTTCACTGAGGAAGAGAAGAAAAGATGGAAAGAAGACAAACTTAGATTAGTAACAGCATGAGATTGATGTTTCACTTTTAGTGCATTGGTTTTTATAAACTTAAACTAGATAAACTCTTAGGTACATACCCCAATTCTGCATATTCCAGCGATAGCGACATATCATCAGATGGACTGAAGATAAGATGTTCCGTATCATCGCCCCTTTGCTCGGGCGTGGCCAAGGCTGCTTCCTGCGGACGATCCTTGTAGAAGGCCCTTTTGCGCATCAGCTCCCGTTCGTAAAGGCCCGGCACTAGCTTGTAGACAATCGCCTGGAGCGTGGTATCCGATCTGCAAGAGAAGAAAAGCGTCGGATTAGAAATGTCGGCTTGGGGTTGGGGTAGCTGGCTGCATCATGCCCAGTCAAATGGAACGCAGACAAAGGCAGTCGGGAAATGGAAAAAAAGTCACCGTCAATGAGGACACACAGAAGCCAAAGAGTCGGGACAGGACTTGCAACTTCCTTGGCGCGGAAATGAGACACACAAAGCGAAAGAGGGAAAGAGAGAGGGACACCAGCCTGTACAAATTAGGCGGCAGATGCAATTTTCTATTACTTCAATGGCACGCAACAAATACAAAAACTGATATATAAAAAAAAATAAGGGAAGGGACTATTTCTTGGCATGCGCTGGTGACGATGGTGATAGTGGTGCTGTGGTGGTGGTTTCCCCCAGATATACTCACACTCACTCACACAACAGGGACAGGAACCGAGCAGCTCTGGCCCTAAGAAGCCTTTAAAAACATCTACGGCCCCGGGCAGCCAGGCGCTCACTTCAATCATTTCAACAAAAATAACGAAAGACGAAGACCGAAAAAGGTCTTGAATAGAACAGAAAGATGAGAAAAGAGGCAGGCGGTTAAAGACGGGGAATTAGGAAAGGGCGAAGCATCGGAGACTCGGGATCTGGGAATGGAATGGCTTTCTCATTTACATAACCCCGGGCTATAAATTTATCGATCATTGCCGTTTGGAAAATGGGCTATCTCTAATCGATCTATTTAGGGATATCCTTTCACAACCTTATAAATTTAACTATGAAATGAGAGATGAACGATGAACGATAAACAGTGGGCCTAATTAAAGTAATTTCGAGATGCCAAAACATTAACTAGATAGCGTGACTTTATTTAGTGTTTGAGCATTATGAAACCTTTTTGTGGTTTGTTATTTTATAGTTTCTTTCTAGACTTTGTATAATTATGAAAACGACGAAACTGTCAAAGCATAGGTTCAAAATTTTAGCAACATCGTTGGTGGTTTAATTAACTGAACTAATTTGAAATCATAAAGTTTTTAATTGGGTTTAAGACATAACAAAAATAAATACAATAAATTGAAAACCTAAAAAAATTGTTAAAATAACCGTAATGAACCTGTTATCTTTCTTTTTTTTTTTAATAATTCGATCATACTTAATTTAAATCCTCATTCAATGCAACTTTTATTCGCACTCTCTCTCAGTTTACTACCACTTTTGCCTGGCAGTTGCAAGGATGAAACAAAAGAAAAAAAAAAGAATATTAAAAAAAAATCCAACAGAAGCAGAAGGCCAGACTGTTCGGCTGTCGCTCTATCTCCCTCGCGCGCCTGTCACTCAGCCCAGTTGTTGTAGCTGTTATTATTATGGTAGTTTCATTATTTTTGTTGTTTTCCATTCGTATTTGTTGTTGTCAGCTGCTGCCAGTCGTCGTTGTTTTGGCCGACGGCAAATTCGAGCCAGCGCAAGACCCGCCCGTTAATTATCTCTGCCGCACTTGGATTTGTTTTCGGTTTTCTTGGAAATGCGTGTCGCTGCAGTTTCTTTTTGTTTTCTTCTCTTGGCTTTTTGCAGTTTATATCAGATGATTTTGGGGGCTGTAAAGCAATAAGAACATGGCCGGCCCCTGACACACATACAAAAGACTTGTTGAAACTTTCAGCTTAAGCTTTGGCTTTAGTTTATTTTATTATATTTTGTTTTACTTTATTTTGTTCGCAGCGCTTTTATTTTGTGTTTACCTTTGTAAAGACAAACTGAGCGGAGTTTTCTTTTGTGTTCGCACTGCTGTTTCCTCCGCCTTTCCCCGTTCCTTTTCCCTTCTCCTTTCCTGTTCCTGCTCCCTCTTTCTTGCGTTGGGTTAAACAATAAACTTTTGCAATAAATTTAATTGGAGACTCGAGACTACTACTACAATACTACTAAAAATTCATGGAAAACATAGCCAGCGGCATACAAAGGGCACTTGTTTGTAGAATTTACCAAATCCCCGCTATATCTTTCACTCTATATCTACACAGAGAGAAATAATTTTATAATTTAAGCTTGCAACTCCTCTCAAATAATATCAAAAAATAACTTGGACAAATCGAAAAGTACTGATCTTTATAATTCTTAGTACTTAAGTCGGTTATATAAAAAATGTATGATTTAAAGTGATTTAAAAACTATAGATGTAAATGGTTTACTACTTCAAGCTACAAACATTACAAATTGTAAGAAAATTAAGTTGTTGAAACTTCACTTATAAAAGAAATTATGTCGCTTATCGCATAGGGTAATCATTTTTCATTATTTTATCTCCGTGTAGCCGGCTTCATTCAATCCATAGGGTACCACTTCACACCATTTGGCCAGCAGCAGCAGCCCGAAAAGGTTCATTCATTCACCTGCTCTTCATTTACTTAGCCCTCTGCCCACGATATCGCCGCTCTTTGAATTTGTATTCATTATCTCTTTGTGTGTGCCAGCGATTACAACGTGCCACTTGATGTGGGGGATGGGGAAGGGGGGGGTGCCGCCAGCGGGTGGTTTTCTATACAGACTCCCATTAAAGTTGTGCGGGGGCCCAAGGCTTAAATAGATATATTCGCTGGTTCAGCTCTCGGAACATGAAACGTGTTTTTCATTACGCCCAGCGAAATGGAATGGAATGAATTGAAACGTGCCAGACGAGACAGTTAGACATTCCCGAAAATGCTGGAGCCCCTTCAAATAAAGTTAACCACAGGCGAAAACTTTACTCCAAGGTGCATGGAGAGGAGGCTTTCTTTTGCCCACCAACCACCATGCCACTTAGGCCAAAGGTTTTTGATCAACTTTTTCCCTCCGCCCACTTTGGCGTGGAGGAAAACCGCTGATACCACCGCCACCGCTACCGCACACCCACCGAAAATACCAAAAGTTGTGTGGTCCAAGTAGAAAAAACATTTAAGAAGAAACTACTCCGGTTCAGGAGTTCCTTTCCCCTGGGGAAAATCAATCTCGCAGGCGAACTAAAACAAAATTGCTATAAGCTACAGTGAGTCTGCACAGTCCGTGACGTTTTGTGGGCGGGAAAAAGCGGGAAAATGAAAGGAGCTAATCTTGTACTGATTTTCTGATTATATTAGTCAGCAGACGTCATCTAATAAAAAGCTTCAACAGACACCTTTTCATAGAACCCGTCATTTAGAATTGGCCCTTTGACACTGAACAAAAGTGGGATTAAGTGGAGTTTAAGACCTTTCCTCTTTACTTATTGGGGAAATAGAGCTACAATAAATTTTCTTTCAAAACTTTTATCAGCAAATGGTTTCTTAGAAATACTTTAACTAACTTCTTTAACTGATTATGAAACAGTGCAGAAAACAGGAAAATTGATAATTAAAAGCTGTGTAAATCCTCTTTCATTCTTTGATTGCTTTGCAACTCATAAAATATTGAACAGACCCCCATTTCGCTAAGAACTTGAATAATTTACTTAGCTCTCTTTTATCAGGCATTTCTGCTATCCCCATTAAAGATCCATCTGGCCTGTCAGAAAGGTTTGGCAATGTTTTTCCTTTGAGCCACCACTTACTTTTAGCCAGACAGCGACGAATCGCAATCTCAAGCACCTGGCCCCCCTGCCGGTCCCCAAACTCGCATTATGTATCTATCATCTAATCGCTCGTTGTCAAAGACAGACGATTGCGAGGAGCATCCACAGCTACTATATAACTCTAGAGGGCTCTTGCATACTCACTTGATGTTCGGTTTGGCGTTGTTGATGACCATCTCGCAGCGCGGGCAGAATCGCTCCTTTCGCAGGTGATTAATGAGGCAACTGTGGCAGACTGAAAAGTACAAAAAAAAAAAACGAGTATAAATAAGAGGGCTTTTGGTACACGAAATAGGCAAATTACGATGCACACGGCATTCGACATAAATAAACTCAACAGATTTCGATGATTCGATTTGATGTAAGACCATCTCTCCCACCCAACCACCCCACAGAACCGAACGGAAACGCAATCAAACCACCCACGTACCCCAAAAAAAAAAAAAAGAGAAAAAAATAAACGAAGGACGAAGCAAGGGGAAAACATTAAACCCAAACAGAACAGAACAGGGAAACACAACCTTCAAGGCAAAGTGAGTGCCGTGCTGCAAAAAGTTGTTTTGACTTTAATGTCAATGCCAGTGTCTCTGTCTGCGTTGCTCCCCCGCCCCTTCAACTTTTCCTCAGTTTTCCCCTGGATATCCTGCCCGCTACAACTGTCACCCAACTGCAGACCAGGGAAATTGCCAAGGGGGAGGTGATGGCAAAGGATAGACTGGGGGTCGCACAGTCAGTCAGTCCAAGCTGGCCCGCCGCCTGTTACGCTTGTCCGTCAGTTTTGGTCCAATGCCGAAATAATAATAATAAAAAAAAGTACGGAGCGAAATAAAAGGAACAAATTCGCACTGAGGATGTGGGGAAAGGGGCAGGAGGAAAATGTGGGGGGCTAGTTGGGCGGTTTGGGCGTGTGGGGTGATGGCGTGTGCAAGCCAGCAAAAAAATTGTTGTTACTGCCCGCCAAATGGCCTCGAATGGGGAGAGCAGCAGCCAGCATTCTGCAAGACTTGCAGCGGCATCAGCACACTGTGAGAAATACTTGAGTTTAAACAAATGGCTAGGAAGCAAATGCCTTTGCATATTTTTAAGGAAAACTTCATGCCCCGTTGGATTGATTATTTTAAAATTTATCGTAAAAAACCCCTACAGAATATAATAAACTAATATAATTTAACTGAATAAAACATAACTGTCAATATTGTAAAAAAATTCTCTAAATTCTTTATTTAATGTTCCTATTGGATACATTTTTAAAAATCTAAAAAAAATGCGTAGTTATCATTTAAAGTTTTATCATGATTCATAAATTTCTCACAGTGCTCGATGCGAAGGCAGCTGTTGCTGCCACAGTCCGGTTTCGCTTTGGTTTGCTTTGCTGGGGTTTGCTTTACTCACTGCCTTTGCTTTTGGTTTTGCCTGGGTCCCAGGTCCGGTCACCAGTAAACAGTCCACAGTCCAGCGTCCCCAGTCCGGTTCGGTTTGGTTCAGTTCGTTTGACAGTTAGATGGGACTCCCGGGTGCTCTACATACGCAAGCATGTATATATCTCTGCCTGCCTGAGCACCGTCCGTTTTGTCCCTGCCGGCCAACAGATTTAAATGAGCCTAACCAAATGTATCCAGTGTCCATTATCAACACATTGGTTTGCCAGATTTACGAACGGCAAAAAAAAAAATGCAAAAAAAAAGGAGCGAATGGGTCGCTTGAATGGAAAATTAACCTTACGCCGCAAAAAGGGGAACTTTTAATGTCTGAGCGGTAGTGATGTATGGCTGCATTTGCTAGTTTTATGGCATTTAGTCCCCGCCTGAATGCTAATGTCGTGTTAATATCTGTGTCGGTGATAACGCATCCGGGATTTCTGGGGGAGTAGAATGAGTCCCGAGATCATCTCTCGCCCGTCTCAACAGTTTCTCAATCAATCGAGCTAAGTACTTCGTGGCCGGGGCCATTAATGTGCCCACAAACTTATCGCCCGGCAACATCTGCGTGTCGTCTGTGGCCCAACCCTCCTCCGCCACCTTCTCCTCCTCGCGCAATCCTCCGCCCCCTGAAGCGAACATAACTCATCGCGTCTAGGCAATTTTGCAGAACAGCTAGACAGGCGGAGGTTGGGACTGGGAATGGTATTGGTATTGGCGAGGGGATGGTGCTCTCAGTCGGCAGTTGGCATTCTAATTAAGGCAAAGCGATTAGACGATGCAACGTGCCTTAATCCCTGGCCATTGAGTCACAAATAAAGAATGCTAATATCTCAAACCCAAATCACATTCAAAAATCAAAAAACCAAGAGAATGACAAACTTAAAACGGAAGAAAAAACTTTAAAAAGTGATTTAGGATTTTAAAATCTGTGTTAAGGAATTTCTTGCGTTTTTAGAAAAACAATTTTAATTGTAATCTTGAAGAGTTTTAACTGATTCTAAAATTAATTATACCCGTTACTCGTAGAGTAAAAGGGTATATTGTATTCGTGCAAAAGTATGTAACAGCTAGAAGGAAGCGTTTCCGACCCTATAAAGTATATATATTCTTGATCAGGGTCACTAGCCGAGTCGATATAGCCATGTCCGTCTGTCCGTCTGTCTGTCCGTCTGTCTGTCCGTCTGTCTGTCCGTCTGTCTGTCCGTCTGTCTGTCCGTCCGTATGAACGCTGAGATCTCGGAAACTATAAAAGCTAGAAGATTGGCATTTTGCATGTAGATTTTAGGAGTTCCTACGCAGCGCAAGTTTGTTTCAAACTGGTGCCACGCCCCCTTTAACGCCCACAATCGCTTATATACGATTTTAAAAATTTAAATATTTCGGAAAAGTGAAAATGCAGTTTTATTGTGCTTATCAATACCTATCGAAATGTAGAAGAAATTTTTCAAATCGGACCATTCGTTAAAAAGTTATGCGTGATCAAAGTTTCTATCTCCATCTCCCTCGCACTCCCTTTACCTGAGTAACGGGTATCTGATAGTCGGGGCACCCGACTATAGCGTTCTCTCTTGTTTTTACTTAAATTTAAGCATCTTCAATCTATTTAAGTTGGACTTTAAATAACAATTTAAAGTTATAAGAGTTTGACAGTAATTTTAAAATTAATTTCATCAAAGACCAAAGTTTTAAAGGTTCATCAGTTTTATCTTGTAAAGTTTTCCTTTTAAAACTGTTCATGTGAAAGGAATTTGGCGCTAAGAATAACGATTTCATTCTAGTAATAGGGTAGTTTGAATTAGGAACATTGAGAGGTTGGAGTGAAGGAGATTGAATTGTATAGACGTTGTATTTTTTGGCTACTTAAAGGTTATTGACTTGCGCAAGCTCCCACCCGAACCAGAATTCAATTTGATGAAGTTCAACTGCTGAAGGAGATACTTACAGGAGTGCAGGCACTCGACGATGGTAGTGGCATTGATCAGATATCCCTGGCACAGGTGACAGATGATGTGCGGATTAACGGCCGTTAAAAGGACAGGGCGTGGCCTTGAAGTTGTGGCCAAATCGGAAGTCGTTGTCGCCGTTGCTGACGACGCCTGGTCCTCCTCCGTTTTCTCCTCATCGGCGGAGGCGCCACCATTACTGCTGGCATCCTCAGAAGGGGCCCTTCTTGTCGTGGACCAAGAAGATGATGAGGACGACGATGACGATGAGGATGATGATGAGGATGAGGCCTCATTGGAATCGACGGCATTCGTGGCCGGAGGCGTTGATTCCTTCTTGATGCTGTTTTCTAATATTGTTTTTGCTGCTTTGCCGGGGGCAAGTGTTGTTGCAGTTGTAGTTACTGCTGCTACTGCTGTAGCTGCTAATGTGTTTTCACTTTTTACTTTAATGCTGCAGGCAGCAAAAAGTTGCTGCTTCATTTGGTGTTGCCTTTGCATTTTATCAACATTAGTTGTTGCTGTTTTCTGAGACAAAGCCAGCTTTTTGCTTGAATTGTTGCCATTGCTATTTGCATTGCTGACAACGCTTTTGGACGCCTTAGTTGTTGTAGTTGTTGTAGCTGCTGCTGTCGTCGTTGTTGTTGTCTTCGCCAACGTTGACAACTGCGACTTTTGTTGTGTGTGAGCCATTGTTGTTGTTGTTCCTGCCGCTGTTGGCCTTATTGTTGCTGCTGCTGTAGTTGTTTTTGTAGCTGCTGCTGGCGGTATTGCTTTCGACTCTGGCGTCATCATAGTAATAATACTCCCGCTGCTAAAATTCGCTTTTGTTTTTCGCACAAGCGTCAATCTGCAAAATAGATAAAGGAGAAGTTGAAATTAAATGCGAAATAAAACGAATGGAAAATGGAAAATAAGAAGCGAGTGTAGAGAGTGCGCTAAAGATTATAAATAAATCAGCGGCTGAGCTGGAAAGCAATAATCTGAACCTATATAGCTTCTTGGTGGAGAAAAGCTTAAAGCTTCACTCACCGCAGAGTTTACAAAAGAATGGAAGGCAAGGGAAAAACATTTTCTGGGAAAACTTCAAGAGTTAATGAACTCGGTGGGATCGTTTTTTCTTTAGTGCAATCTTTTTTTTTTTTGCATGATTCTTCGAGGTTGCTTTGCTAATCTTATATACAGTATGCTAATGTTTCAACAAAAGATCACTATAAAATAAAGATCAAATTACGGAACCAGTTTTCATTTACTTTATTTTGAATACATTTTTCAATTGCAAAACATCTACATAGAAACCATGTATGTTATCTATAATGAATATTTAAGCGCCAACAAAAGAGAAAATATTAGAAACAGACTTTAAATCTGGGAATTAAAGCTTTTGGGACTTAAGCAGTAAACAGAAAGGAGTCGTTGGGCATAAAGCAATCTGCCAGCTATTATTTGCAATCAGTACATGGATGCGGGGCCTTCGATAATGGATGTTGTAGTTGCCATGGGAATGCCTACGTCGAATATATTGAAATGCACAACACTCGGGGGAGTAAAAAGGGGAAAAAAGAGTTGCAGGAGTTTTGTTTTATTACGGAGTCGAGTGGAGTTTTAACCAGATGCCAAGTACATCCAAAGAGAGGGCGGATGGAAAATGTGTATTTCAAACAATTTGAAGTTGTTTTTGCATCAACGCGCCTGTAAAAAGTCAAGGTACGTACGGAAAACTTTTCCGAAAAAGTTTTTTAACTCCAGCGGCACACTGAATATGGTTTGGAGAATATGGAAATGGAATATGAATGAATAAATATGCAAGAGGGCGAAAAAAAGCCGCCGAATCCAGCAAGCCCTTTAAATCCTTTTTACATCAATGTTAAGTGTTGAGCGAAAAGGAGAGAAACCCTTCTCTTTTCCCCTTCCCACGTTTTTTGATCCCATTCCCATGATTTAAGTCTCAGGAATTCTCGCGCGCAAAAAAAAAGTGTGAGTGAGTACCAACATAAAAAGGATAATAAAAAAAAAGCAGCGGAATTTCACATTGTCGAGTGAGCGTGTGTATGTGTGTGTTTTGAAAGGGATGTGAAGGGAAGTACGAGAAAGGAAACGCGACAATGAACAACAACAACAAGCAAGCAAGCGAAAATTCGGAGAATGCAGAACATAGACTGCGGCTTTATCTCCTCTTTCAAAAACACACGCACACACACACACTGACTTATTACTTTCATTCAGTGAAATAAGTACATAAACAAAAAACGAAAACGTTGCAAAACCAAATAGCAGTAAATTCTCATGCTCCCCTTTTCAATTTCCGTGTGTCCAATCGAAATTCTCACTTCTTGTGGGGCAACAAAGGGGGGCGATAAAAGAGAGAAGAGAATCAAGACGGGGGAAGAGGGGGAGAGAGCGCAACAGCTGCCGGCCGTAGCCAGTGTTGGCAAACGCCAGTCATTTACCTCTGAATCCAATCTTTAATCCACTAATAATCCAGCCAGTTAATTGGCATCGCGGTGGTCGCCTCGTATACATATATAATCCAATGGCAGAGGAATAATCCAAGTAAATAATCCAATGAGTATCGGTAGTTGAGTTTTTTGAGTCAGCGTTTTTGCTTCTCTTTCTTCACTTCACTTTATTTTTACTTTTCTTCACTCCGAAAGCAACCACACAAACACGCGCTGGCACTTTCGGCGGCTCTGCTTTCGTGGGCACCTTTATTGTGTATTATGCTTTGCTCTATGTTTTCTGCGCGCACACACACAATCACTCACGTCGTATATAAGACAGCAGACTTAGTTGTCACACAAAGAAAATTTGCCTCTATCTTTGTTATTTATGATTATCATTTTCTAACTTAAGCTTAGAGCTCTGGTTGCATTTTTATCACTTGATTTTTTCGGGTATTTTTCGTTGTCGCTTTTAGTTAGCGATTATGGTAAAATATCCAACAACCGACCGACGTCCGTTCGCTTTGAGTATTTTTTTTCGACTGACGACCACGCTGCTTTTTATTATTTACTCTGCCTGCGTCGCACGCTATTTACTCTCTCTCGCACAAACACATACCCATATATATTCTTGCAGAGGCAGGTAGCCAACAGCTCTTGGCGAGTGCCTTTGTTTTCTTTTTCTTCGCTCGTACACACCGATTGGCTGTCTCGCTCGCTCCGGCCTTTTACTGGTCCAGCTTGACTGCTATCTCGTTTGCACGCGCACTCTAGCTCTTTTGTTGCTCTCGTTGCGGGGCGTCGCTCTCGCTCGTTCGCTCGTTATTTCTCCGCACAGCGTCAGCAAACCGTTCTCGTTGACTGTCAATTTTCAACTGAAACTGAACGCTCTTTCGCTGACTATGTTTTCGGTCGCCACTTCGGTCTCTGCCGGCGTCAGCGTCGACGTCGGCGTTTTTTGCTTTGCCAGCCGTTTCTTTGTTCATGTCTGTATGTACAAATGGAAAGGCAAATATAGAAAAGGAGGGGGAAAAGGGCTGTACATAAATGGCAGAGGGTTTTATGACTCTTTCGGGCTCTTATCCATATACAAACACTCTGAAATACATAAGACCATGTGCAAACAAGGTGGAATGAGTGCCCATGTAATCGCAACTTGCAATTTCCGTCCTCAGAAATCGCATATTTGCACGTAGGCGTACGGCTATATCTGCACCCCTCTCGTTCGCACACTGTATCGCCTCCAAATTGGAAATGTTGTTGTTTGTTTTCCCTTTGCCTTTTCCTTTTTGCCCCCACAACTACAAAAACAATAACAACGATAAAGAGCGCGAAAGAGCTCTCCAATCAGTGGCAGCCAACAACAATAAAAACAGCAACTTCGTTTCCGTCTTGGCGAATTAACAGTTAGGCTGCTCTTACGTAACGTAACAATGCAGATCTAACGGATAAATTACGAGAAAGAAAACCAAACCGTGACGGCACTTTCCATGCAAAATAAAACCGCAGTGATTATGTCCGTGGGAGTAAAATTCGTTCTGTTTATTTTTCCCCAGAGGAAACAGAAATTCTTTTATTTGTATGTAATACTTTTTCAATTCCAATTTTAAGATACTTTGTCAGAATTTCTTCACGGTTGGGCCATAGTATACCTATTTTAAGTTTCAAAGTGCTTACATTACCAGTTTTTTGTGAATTAATTTACAAGAAAAATAATAAATTATATTACATTGTCCTACAGAATGTAATGTATTCATTTCCCATTCAAAACAGATACATTCATATATTTAAGATTGAATAAATTCCCTTATTTTCAGCATTTTAGGTAAATCCATTCGGAGAAAAATACTTAATAACAGTACATAATAACAGTTATATTAATAAACATGTAATACTCTTTAAGGTAAAGCCGAAACTTACGTAAGTTTGTAGGACACGTTTTTTAAAAACTTTATAAAGCTTTATATCTGTTCACTTTTTGCACATTCTGGTTCTAAAACAATGAATACATTAGGAAAGCATATATGGGCATAGCCAGAAATTCCGTATTCATTAAGTTAATTCACACTCATATTCATAAGTGTTCCTGCTTTTCATGAACAATAGTTTACTGAGAATATTTTTAAATCATTAGGTCCGTTCTTAGATCTCTATGTTAAGTTTTAAGCTCACTGTTAAAATGATAAATCGGGCCAGAAAAAATGGTCATTTAATAGGACTAATTATTAGTTAACCAACTTTTCTTAGAAAACCTGTAACTGAGAAGAACTATAACTGGCACGATTTTAAAACATTTAAGGATCTATATATCAAAATATGTAAAGCTTACTGTCAGTATAAGAAAATGGGCAACCCTTTTTGGTTATAAATGGACATTTTCGTTGGACTCGGATTACATAAATAGATATTCAAGTCAATGAAGGAACAACAACTCGAGAAACCTTTCAAAACCAAACATAATGCGTCAACTAAAAAAAAACAATAGATGCCAAATCAACTAAATAAAGTCGACAGTGTGTTGATAACGATCCATTTCAAGGAGTTTGGAATTGGGTGACTTGTACAATGTGACTAATCCAATGTTATAAATTTGCACACTTATGAATCAGAATGAAATTAGATGAATAATACTTTTGGCAGGATGAATTAAGTCCATTGCGATGTGGTTTCAATTTTGAGATAACACGAAATTGGGAATTTCTTTCTCTTGAGTTAAAGATTTATTATTTTAGTTACAAGAAGGTAAAAGTCATATACAAATTCAAACTCTTCCGATTTCTAAAAAAAAAACAAATTATGTGTGAAAAATGTATGACGGCTTCAGATAATGTTTTTTTAAAAATGTTGCCAATTGCAAATCATTTTTAAATCTCGTCAAATTAAAATATGACATTTTAAAATGTGTTGCCACAGCAATCTATACCAAGTAAATTTGATTGAAATGTATATAAATGTACATTTAAAAATTCGCGATAGGCCAGGATTCAGCATTACTTATGTTTTTCTGTACAAATGTGGAATTTGTTCAGATAAATTGCGAGTAAAATAAAAAGACTTCTGCGGTTTAAAAGTCGGTGGTTAAAGGAACTGATAAAAAAAAGTATAAATAGACATAAGTTGTTTAAGATTTTCAAGGGACATTAATGATAATTACATCTAGCTAAGACGAAAGGAAAACAAATTGACTATAAAGAATATATCTTTAAAAGATACTTTTTATACCCTTGCAGAGGGTATTATAATTTTGGTCAAAAGTGTGCAACGCAGTGAAGGAGACATCTCCGACCCTATAAAGTATATATATTCTTGATCAGGATCACCTCCTGAGTTGATATAGCCATGTCCGTCTGTCCGTCTGTCCGTCTGTCTGTCCGTCTGTCTGTTTCTACGCAAACTAGTCTCTCAGTTTTAAAGCTATCGAATTGAAACTTTGCACACACCCTTCTTTCCTTTGCACGCAGTATATAAGTCGGAACGGCCGAGATCGGCCGACTATATCCTATAGCTGCCATATAACTGATTGATCGGAAATGCCATAACTTTGGTGTTTGTAAAGTTAGGAAGTTGGGATTTTATATGGGTGTTATATTTGGCCAATCAATCCGACCTACCAAATTTCATAAGGATCGGCCGACTATATCCTGTAGCTGCCATATAACTGATTGATCGGAAATGCCATAACTTTGGTGTTTGTAAAGTTAGGAAGCTGGGATTTTCTATGGGTTTTATATTTGGCCAATCAATCCGACCTACCAAATATCATAAGGATCGGCCGACTATATCCTATAGCTGCCATATAACTGAACGATTGGAAATGCCATAACTTTGGTGTTTTTAAAGTTAGGAAGTTGGGATTTTTTATGAGTATTAAGAATGCATCTTATGAATAATTTTGGAGAATATAATGTACATAATATTCTGCATGGGTATATCAACTTCGGCTCCGCCCGAAGTTAGCTTTCCTTTCTTGTTCTTCCTGTAGTGGTCGTTAAATCCAATTAGGCGATCCTTCTGTACTTCATTTTTACCATTCGCCCTTACAGGATGCAGGACGCCCCGCTGATTTTTATTACGTGTATTGAATATCCCGCGATTTTTCCCAATTTCTCCGCTTCTAGCAACGGCGGGAGTATCAATTCCATTCGCCATCAACTGTCCGTCTCTCTGGGCAATTAGAACCACTCGAACTGACGCTAATCCCCGAGCGAAATCATCCAGCGTGTGCCCGACATCAGGCGCATGTGGATATCTATCCGGATCCCGGATCCCTGAGCAGATTGGCTTTCGGGCGGACGCCATCTTAAGCCGGCCGTCATCAGCGGCTGATTGAGCTCATCCTGTCCAGTGGATACTGGACACTGTTCTTTGCCACTCGGTCGGGCCGAGCCGTAAATTATTGATTGGCTTTAATGCCCGGCGATAGATTGCCCCAACTGGTTTTAACAGCTTAATTGAGACCCCATGAAGCAATAAATGCGATAAAACGACGGACTTGCACTGGGATTCGGACTTGGAGTCGAAGTCGTGGTTACCGGGGAAAGAGAAACTACAGTCCGACTTGCGAAAGCCGAACTCAAAGTAAAATCAGTTAATTAAAAATATATATTTTTTTAACAATGGTTACCTTTTATATAGGAAAACATCATTAAACTATGTTTCCCAAATGTTGAGCACAGCATTAATTAAACATCACAACAACCATATTTAATTAAAATTAGTCGTTTTCATATCTCAATTTAAAATTTTTATTAAAAAAAAAATCCACCTATGAACGTTTTAAAGATACGCATAACAAATTATTCAAGAGGGTCATTATTAAAGCTAACATAATCAATACCAAAACAAAAATATATTCTATTTAAAAAATGTAAACTTAAAAACTTAAAAGTCTTACGATTTCTTTACGCTGTACATACGTGATAATTTTTTAGTTATGTATACGATTTTAATTGTAATTCAAATACATATTTTAAACTAAAAGACTTTTAATAAAAGCTTTCCAATAATTTGTATATTCATACATACATATAATAATTTTTTTTCGGTGAGTAATTTTGGAAAAAATGTTCCGAAACTGCGCAGTTCTTGAATACAACAAGTATTTATTAAGAAATTATTTTTTAATTTTAATCTGGGAAAACAAACTTTTTTGTATGGTATTCGGTCATTTGAAGATTAAAGATTGAGTATATGCATATGGTTATACATATATGTGGTAATTCGAGCTATGTATGTATAAATATAATACAAATATACTAAGTTTAAAATTTAAAGTTATCGAGTTTTGCATCTCTTTAAATTTCTTAATTTTGTACTCTTTCCAGATTCTAAATTTCTTATCCGACTGCTAGTAGTTCCTGTTATAGAAGTAAGACTGTAGGCTTGAGCCGCTGAGTGAAAAGACGATGGAACCAAGCCAAAGTCGTGTCCACAGCCGCAACAACAACTTAAACGGGGCGACTGCAATAGCAACAACAGCAACAGCAATAAGATTGGGGCAACAACAGCAACTCCGGTAGCAGCATCCCAGTGAATGGGGGGCATTTAAGTTTAATTTGTGTGCCGCCGTCGTCGCCACTCGTTCGTTTCCCTCTCTCTCGTCCTCTTCTTCTCCTCTCACTCTCCTTCTTTTTCGTGGAACGAAATCCCCACAAGCATTGAGATTCGTTGTTGTTGTCGTGCATTCAGGGCGCATGCCGAAAACCAAAAGCAACTTCTCGCTGTAGTGTGTATGTGAGCCCTGTACATGCACGTACCTATGTATGTATATATGTATCTGCCAGTTGAGTTTTCCCAATACGCACTGCTGTGACGTACAACAGCAGCAGCATCGTCATAATCATCATGTTCATCATCGC